CCGGGCAGGGGGGACAACCACGGCGACCCCGCCCTCCACGGCCGCCCGTTCCCCAAGCTAAGGCCCCGTCCCCGGCCGCCATGACTACCTAACTCGCCCCTCAGTGGGTCCGCCACCACAGGCCCTCGCTCCCGCCGCCTCTTCAGACTCACGGTCTGCGGGACCAGGCGATGCCTCTTTTGGCTCATATCCTGGGACTTTACCGTACTGGGGAAAGGGCAGAAATTAAGGGAAGAGCTCGATAAAGTATGCGCTTCCGGCGCACGGCAGTGACGTATACTCCAGGCGTCCAGCCTTGCCGGCTTCTAGGCGCGAGGACGGGAGGGGAGTTCGCCAATCAGCGCTAGGGCCGGTGCCGCAAGGGGCGGAGACCAGCACCACTTCCGCCGATCCGCGGCCCCGCGCCCGCCGTTGATTGGCTCTCGCCGAGAGCTGTGGAGTTTAGGTCCCTGGCTGCGCCGCTGACCACGTTGGGCTCAAAGTCCTGATGCAAACCCCACCACCTCCACCACCTGTCCATCCTTCAGAGGGGTTTGCTCGCCGCCCTCGCTGAATGATGGTGTCATCGGAACCCGAAAACGCACCTTTGCAACCCTCTTCGGCTTCTGACGTCCCAGCCCAGACGTCATAGCCCTGCGGAAGTGGAAGTGAGGGCTGGGGGACTTCGAGGTAACCCCTGGTCTGGGCCCTGACTTCTTGCCCTCGCTGCATTTGAGTACCTGGGGGGATGGAGGTACAGGACAAGCAAAGAGGCAGGCTGAGCGCTCGGCCAGGGCTGGGCTCGAGGACCTGGGGCCTGCATGTTTGGAGGCCACCACCTGTTAGTCGAGAGGCTGGCCGGGTGCTGAGCTACTCTGCACAGTGGAAACTTCCTCCTCCCAGGAGCTCATGGAGCCCAGAGGGACCAGGAGAAGAGCCGAGAAGCCAGAAGTAGCTGAACCTCCGAACAAGCTCCCCCATGCAGCACCCTCCCTGCCCACGAAGCCTGCCCTCTACTCTGGTCCCTTTCCTTTCTACCGGCGCCCTTTGGAACTTGGCTGCTTCTCCCTGGATGCACAACGCCAGTACCACGGAGACGCCCGAGCCCTCCGCTACTACAGCCCGCCCCCCACCAACGGCCCAGGCCCCAACTTTGACCTCAGAGACGGATACCCTGATCGATACCATCCCCGGGACGAGGATATCCGAGAAGGGCTGGACCACTTACTGCGCTGGCTTCTGGAACACCGAGGCCAGTTGGAGGGGTGAGCTAAGCTAGGCACTGGTAGATCTGGAGACCCACACCTGCCCAGTTTAGTTAGAAGCAAAGCTACAGGGAGACTGTGAATCTAGAGGGAACTCGGGCCACTCTGGGGAGAAGCCAGCCGGCTAATTCTGTGTCACACTCTTAGACGCTAACTCTTCCCTCTTAGGGGTCCCGGCTGGCTGGCAGGGGCCATAGTGACCTGGCGGGGGCACCTGACGAAGTTGCTGACCACACCGTACGAGCGGCAGGAGGGCTGGCAGATGGCAGCCTCTCGGTTCCAGGGGACGCTGTACCTGAGTGAGGTGGAGACGCCGGCCGCGCGGGCTCAGAGGCTCACTCAGCCACCCCTCCTCCGGGAGCTGAAGTACATGGGGTACAAGTTTGAGCAATACATGTGCACAGGTGAGAGCTGGCCCTGCACCGTGGCAGACACCCCCTCCCCACATCGGAAGACCCCACCCCTCCTGCTGCCGTTTCTCCTTGTGCAGACAAACCCGGAGGCTCCCCAGACCCCTCTGGGGAGGTTAACACCAATGTGGCCTTCTGCTCCGTGCTACGCAGCCGCCTGGGGAGCCACCCCCTGCTCTTCTCAGGGGAGGTTGACTGCACAGACCCCCAGGCCCCATCCACACAGCCCCCCACCTGCTACGTGGAGCTCAAGACCTCCAAGGAGATGCACAGCCCTGGCCAGTGGCGGGGCTTCTACAGGTTCAGATCAGGCGGGCAGGGCGAGGGCCCGAGTTCACACCTGGGACAGGGAACCGGGAGACGGGGCAGAATGGAGGGTAGAAGAGGGGTCCCACTGACCCCCTTGCCTTTCCTGCCAGACACAAGCTTCTGAAGTGGTGGGCTCAGTCATTCCTCCCAGGGGTCCCGAATGTTGTCGCTGGCTTCCGCAACCCAGAGGGCTTTGTCTGTTCCCTCAAAACCTTTCCTACCATGGAGATGTTTGAGCACGTCAGGGTAAGGCACTGGTGTCAGCTGTGCCTGTGTCCACCCACCCCCTGCACAAAGCCCCAGGCACCGTCCGGGCTGCGACATGCCTTCCCCTTCTTCCCGTCCACGTCCCTCCCGTCCTCTGCTCCTCCTCTACCCACTCCAGAATGACCGTGATGGCTGGAATCCTTCCGTGTGCATGAACTTCTGTGCTGCCTTCCTGAGCTTTGCCCAGAGCACAGTTGTCCAGGACGACCCCAGGTGAGGCTCCCAGCTTTCTCCCTTCGTGAGCCCGGCAGCTCAGCCTCTAGTCCCCAGCCCTCACTGCCTCTACCCCCAGGCTCGTGCACCTCTTCTCCTGGGAGCCCGGAGGCCCAGTCACCGTGTCTGTCCATCGAGATGCACCTTATGCCTTCCTGCCCACATGGTATGTGGAAGCCATGACCCCAGACCTCCCGTCACCCCTCAAGGACTGACGCCGCAGGGGTAACTGTTTCTGTGCAGAAAATAAATGTGTTTCTAAGTGGTTCTCCCTGCTGTGTCTTCTGAGTTGGGTCCCCCACCAACAGCCTGAGCACACCCAGTGGCTTGCTGTTTTATTGCTGTACTTTTACCCAGCGGCCATTCATTGAGTGTAGAGACTGGCTGCGAAGACGATGTCTCGGCGTAGCAAGGTGGCTGCCGTCTCCATCTTGGCACCCAGCACGGGCTCCCCAACCAGGCGGGCCGCCCCTCGCAGCGAGCGACACATCTCAGCCAGGCGCTGGATGCAGCGGACCACCAGGCCCTCGGGAGTCCCCGAGAGCCCCGCCAACTCCGCAAAGGGCTGTGGGGACAGCAGGGTGAGGGCCAAATGCCAGGCCCGGCAGCCTCTCCCCGGCCAGCCATCCGCAGAACCCCACACCTGGTGCTCACCATGCCCCGGGCCCACTCATACACGACCTCAACCAGCCCGAAATTCAGCTGCCCCACAAATTCCTCCACGGTCTGGTTCAGGCCACAGGCCACCTGGACCTCAGCAATCCTCTTGGCCACAGCCCGGACACGTTCCACCCCCTGCAGAAGAGAAGGAAAGGGCAAAAGCCTGCTCTGGTCCAGATCGAGGAAGACGCCACGCCCGTGGCAGAGGCACTGAGAGGGTCGGCAGTGCCCAAGCCTGGGTGGGAAGGAGGGTTGGCGCTCCCACCTGCTTGAGGGTGCTGGGGAGCTGATCCCCAGGGTCCCCGGGGCTCTGGCAGACCAGGCCAGACAGCAGGGCGGCGATCTCCTCTGGCCGCAGGACGCTCAGCGCATTGTCGAACATGAGCTCGGTGAGGAGCAGCTCGTGGCTGCTCATGGCGCACGCCACCCGCCCCGC